TATATGTGTGTGGGGGGGGAAGGTGTGTGTGTAACAATCATAATTTTAAAAAGCAATGTATTTGAAAGTGAGTAAAAGTGTAATGGGGGTTTGGAAGAAGGAAAGGAGAGAAATTATATAATATTAATGTTATTAATATTATATTATATAATTATATAATCATATTTTAATTAAAACAAAAATAAATTAAGCATATGCAAATATAAAACCTTATTCACAATTATTCATTAAATAAATGCAAATTCAGTCAGAATCCTTCATTCACCTGACTAAAATGTTAGTTTTAAACATATATTGGCCATATCAAGTGTTTGTGAAATTTTGAAATGCCATTTGATGTAACTCTTTCAGAACAGCTTGGCCTTTTGTTACTAAATTAAACATATAACTGCCCTGCGACTCACCCAATCAATTTCTGAGTGCAATTTTATTTAAGAGAAGTTAAATCATATGTCCAGATGAAGATGTTTGTATTAATGTTTATAGTATATTTACTCGTAATAGCCTCATCCTGAAAGAATATATGTTCCTGTAAAAACTGAGTAGATTGAATAAATGTGATACAGGATCACAATGGAAAACTACTTAGCAATGAAGAAGAAATAATTATGTAGTAATCCTTATAAGAGCTTGGATGGATATCAAAACATCATGCTTAGTGAAAGATATAAGACAAAAAATACATAATTTATGATCCCTTTGCTATAAAATTTTTTGGGAAAAGCAAACTAATGTATATTGACAGGAAAATTATCAGCTGTCTGAGTAGGAAGCATGGAAGAAGATGTACAAATAATCACAGAAGAATGCATTCATATACATCAGTTTGGTGTCTTGAATGAAGATATTATTACCTATGGATGCACATATTAGCAAGTTTCAAAAATTAACAACTTGTACAACTTTAAATGTATATGATTTATTGCATTTAAATTCTATCTTTATAAAACTACATATAATCCATTTGCCTGACCAATGCAGGACTGATTGGTAACAGAAGAGCTGTCCAGGTAGGAAATGAGAGTGCCTTGAATTGTATTGAAAGCTGCCAGATTAGAGATGTAAACAGATTTGTGAAACATTTTAGCATATACTGATATGACTATGCAAATATCTACTATGTTCCAAATGTTAACTTGTTCTAGTTTTCCAGAGCAAAGGCTAGGGAAGATTCCATCTAAAAGCCCCCTGAATTTGTTAGAGATACTTACAATGAACTCAAATGACCTGGGAGAACACAATGGATTCTATTCAACTACTAAAAATATTTCAAAGGAAAAAAAGAGTGGGAGGAAGCAAGAGAAAAAACATTCTTAGTACTAATTTCTAACATATTCTTCAGAAGTTGTCTCTTGATTGTAAAAGCAAAAGTGGAAAAGCAAGATTTGAGATAGGGATCAGAGTACAAAGTTCAAATAATGGATATGCTCATAGTGTGATCACAGTAGTTACCTTTTCCCATCATGATAATATAATTGGTGAGAGTTTGTTTCACTTAAGAAGTTAAAAAAAAATAAAGATAGGGAAGACAGTCCAATCTGGAAATGTCTTGTGTAGCAAGCATGAGAACCTGAGCTAGATGCCTAGCACACACATAAATGAAAAGCCAGGGAATGGCACTTTGAATCCCAACAATGCAAAGGCAGTGGCAAGTAGATCTCTGAGACTCACTGACCCATCAGTTTAGCCTACTTGATGAGTTCTAAGCCAGTGAAAGACTGTAAAAAGAAACATGTTTGATGCAGTCTAAGGATGACATGACATGCAGACATCTACTGTAGTCCTTTGGCATTTACACTTCTCTCTCTCTCTCTCTCTCTCTCTCTCTCTCTCTCTCTCTCTCTCCCCCCTCCATCCCTCATCTCTCCTTTTAATTGTTTTGGTTTTGTTTGTGTTGGGGTGTATTAGTTACTTATCTATTATTGTGACTAAACAACACGACCAAGGCAACTTTCAGGATGCTTCCCTATTCACAAATCTCTTTTATACATTATAATTCTTTTCACTGTCACAGCAGCATTCAGAGAGCTGTTGTTTCAGCATCAATTTTCCATGAGGAAATCTGTAAAGACAACTTTGATGCTGTGGAAGTAACATAAACTTTCAACTGTTTCATTCTTGGGTTTGATTATTTATTGTGCTTTCACTTATTGAAAGGTGATTTACTTCTCACATTAATTTTTCCAGGCCTCTTTTCTACAAACTTTCCTCATTCCTTTTGTCATATTTCATTCACTACTATTAGCAGCCTCTTTCACAATCTATAGACAAATAGATCTTCTGGCTCGGAGATATGTATTCATTCCGTTCTACCATCTTGCCAGTTGATTCAATTCCCTTTGAATAAAATAGTGAAAAGGCTTTGGTAGATCTGAGGTTGTAATGACTATTCAAGTCATGTCTTCAAAGGATCTGTGCATTGCAGCACACTACACTAGAGAAAATTAGCCATTTCACGTGGCTAATAACTTTGCTTTTTTGCCATAAGGAGTGATTTGTGAAAGTAAAATAAAAATCAATACAATACATTCAATAAGGTCTCAACTGTTATACTTTCAGCAGATAATCTTGCGCCTAGGCAGGTAGAAGCACTCTCGGGTCACTTTGTTCTAAAAGATTGCTTTGTGACCATTTCTCAAGAGCTGTGGAGCTGATGAGAGTACAACTAATATAACAAAAGAATGGAAAGCTGTTTTACATTCTGCTAATATGGAGGTTATAACAATGCCCTTGCTTCACTTGTTCATCTGTGAAATACAGTTGATCATATACCCTTCTTTTCCCCGTGGAATTTGAGTTAACTCCTTTGGTCAAGCTAAACTCTCAATACAAAGGATATAGCTTTCTTCGTCCCTGTAGAAGCATGTAAATGTGGAAATATCAGGTGTGATTGCATAGTCCACCAGTCCCAGGATTTGGGAAGCTGAATCAGAAGGAAGATGAGTTCAAGGTTTGTCTGTTGAATGGAACAATTCCCCGTCTCAAAACAAAGATAAAATCCTAAAAACAAAATTTTTAAATAAAATCAAATAATTACAGTGAGAGCCTCACAAAACAAACTGAAACTCATGTGCCCAGATCCAGAGGTATAAGCTATTTACTAGTGAGAGGATGGGTCTACAGCCTTTCGGTAAGGAACCCTTCTGTGTAAGTCAACCCTCCACCTTTCCGTTGCTCACTTGCCTCTACACTTGGAGTATTCCACTTCACCTTCACTCCTACCTGTCCATCAAAAGAAAAACAAACAAACCTCCCTAGTGATTTCTCTATGTAGGATAGGATTATACAAGAGTAAACAATTTGGAACTCTCAAGGCATCTATACACAAACAAAGCTTTGGAAAAAACCAAGGTCCATTTATGCGGGACAAGTGTTTCTGACATTTGTTTACACACTTGTCTGAGTAATTTTTTTTTTTTTTTTGCCTTTCCAAGTCTGGAGAAGTGAAAAGTATTACAGGTAATTCCCAATAGGAAGAAGGGCAGGAAATGAGGTAGAAAAGATCTCTGATTTCTTGAGCCCAGAATTTCCAGAGCAAATGGCAAGGTGTCAAGAATTCCTATCTACCTTAGTGGGGAATCTCAAAGGTTTCTGCAAGAGTTGGTTTGGTGGCAGCTTGTTCTTTAATTTTTAGGGACTCCCCCTTTTGCTTGTCCAGGTGGACCCCGGAAAGAACTTCTAACAGCTACTGGTAGCTGGCACTTCTATTGCCCCTTCCTCCCTCTCCCACCTCCAAGAATCTGTCTGGGGTTGCTTTTAGCAATGAAATCTGGCCTGTGCCAGCCTTGCGAAGAGCCGGTAGACTTGCCTGTTAAAAATCACTCCCAGTTAAAGCTTCTAGTCTGGAGCCCAAAGCCTGGTTCCGAAAAACAAGGGTATTTGGGGAAGAGGGG